TTTGCAATTAACGTCGCTCATTTTCTTAACATCATAAAGGTTCCAGTCTACTCCAAGCTTTCTTACTGTTCCAACCGCTTCCAACAACTTTTCGTAATCTTCTTTTTGTAAAACCTGATTTTGTTTTGCTCACTTTTTTTACGCTTTTTTATACTTTTGGGGTGTGTTTGAATTATAGTTTAGATATCTTCCTGACCAAACTTCTTTTGTATACCAACTTGTTCTTATTTCACCTGAATTATCATAATTTACTGTTTGTCTAAAAAATGCATTGATAGATTTTTATCCTTTTCTATTGTAAATTTTATAGTGTCGTGAAAATTGTTGAATTTATCTAGGGTCATCTTCAGAGATCAGTTGTCTAAAAACGCGATATTGAGTATTCATAAAATAATACATTTTAAGATTCCAATTTTTTAATTATACATTTTGCGGTGCCGTTCAGGAGTTAGTTAATACTTTTTCATTTTTTCTGACTATCTTTTCGATACGACCAAAGTCGAATGGAATCTAAGTATTGTTTGTCCCAAGCTTTTTGGCAGTGACGCTATAATTGCCGTTCTTCTAGTGTCTAAGATTTAAGTTTTTCAAACATTTTTTTTATTAGACATTTAAATTGCCCATCACCATGTCCCAAATCACAGCATTTCCGTCGCAAGAAAGCAAAGTGTGCAACGAGTTCATTCAAGATTGTATCAAGGATTTTCCAGTTTATCACAGTTCAAGCCTTGATAAACTCGAACAAAAGACAGGACAGTTTCTTGAAACCCGCTTTTGAAACAGGCGATATTTTCGTCCATTCTGATAACAAATCTGTTCTTATTAAAGAAAACCCGTATAAAACCATATGCTTCTAGCTGCACGTAATTTGTTATTGGCAAATGATCTTATTATACAAATTAATTGTTTTCCCATCGTGTTGATCTTTGGCTCTGGTATCTTGTATAGATTGAAAACACTCGTAAATGTATCGGAAAAATCGATTGAGCACCATCACAACTTGAAGCGAATGGTCAAACAGATAAACTCCGGTATTATGCAAAAATGCAATTTATGGATAGGAATGTTAACCATCTGAAAACGAATGCGATTTGCTAAGAACTAGAAGCAAATATGAAAGTAAAATTTCCGTCCAGCTTACACAACTTAAAACTATGGCACTGAAATGTATTGACTATATTGAAGAAAACATGTGATTCTCTTAGTGACTTTTAAGAAGAAAATTTTTATAGAAGAAGTTTGAAAACAAAACTTTTTGCGCACAAAGCGTTTTGTCAGAACGAGAAATTTGCAAAATTTTGGGAAAGTTTTATGTGTTGTGTGTGTGTTAGTGTCGCTATTCCACTAAAAAGCCATATTTGGCTCCTAAACTTGCAACTTTTCAACGTTTCAACAAAAATGCGCCATCTAAAATTATTAGTTTTTCCTTAAAAAAACCCTTTTACTACGCACAAATTTGGAGAAATCGGTGAAGGCGAAACAAATTTTTGCGTGCTGTTCCCACAAATCGCACAAATTAAAAGATGTAAATAAGAAAGCTTCTACTATTCTTGTAATTCGCGAAATCAAAATATCCTAATGCTAGATAAAACAATAGTTTATCTAGCAGGTTATATATATATCTATAAAACAATAGTTAAAACAAACAGGAGCTGAGCACAAACTGATATGGCTAAGTCCTCCATGGCTGAGGCGCATTGATTGATTGATTGATATTTTTTAATTAGATAATTACACAACTTTTAGCAACAATGAAAACTGCCCGACTATTATATGGGATAACGTAGATAATTCACATTATCATGTAGTAATGCGATTGCACCAGACACCATGAAGGAAAGACGAAAAAACAACTATTGGCGATTGAACACTTTCAAAGGCAAAGAACTTCAATGCTTAAATAATACAGTATTTAACTCCTTACGCACCTGGTGTCTTTGAATCGTCACTTGCACACTAATAACGTAGATTAGTGTTTGAACTATAACCATGTAATTAAAAAAGCATTTAAATATCGCTCCACCAAGTGGTGACGACTGTCAGTTTGATTCCTAACGCAAAAGTACTTACTTAGTTGATAACAGGACAAGAACAGTGAAAAAAATATAGCAAACAACGAATGCAAGGGTTTTCCCAGCAGTCTGGTGTGGCTTCCAACACAACAACAATAATCAACCTTCAAGAATGGCCAATCCAAATATGATTAAACAACGCAAACGAAAACGTGCTTTGTGTTCTAATAATACATTTGAGTATTATTTGCTTTTATTGTTCCTGGCCTTTGTCACACCCTCAAGTGCGACTAATCAACCGTATGCCCTTTAGGTTTACCCAACAAACACCAAGTAAACGTGCGTAATTGTGAAGTAGGTACTCACCCTTCAGATCGTAGACGATAACGCGCTTTTCCACACCGAATTCCTTTAGCCAGATCTGCACATCCTCTTCCAGAGAATCTTTCAGATTTCGGAACAAAGAAACGCGATAACTAAAATAAACAATCGATGTAAAACCAATAAATGAAACCGCTAATAATTTGGCTTTGGCACTGTACTTCATAATAATGTTATCTCTATTGTTTACATTTTAAATATTGTAATTACTGCAGTTCAAACCTGAGCAAATAATCATCAAAAAACAGCTGATAGCAAAAATCAATAACAAATCAATACTGAGTCCTGGATGGGGGCCATCTTACAGCGGACATTTCAAGCACAAGTTCAGCGTCATCTACATTCAGAAAATATTTGTTAATGAAGCTGGGATCGAATATACAATTTAATTGGAAACTTGTGCCCTGAATGATTGAAATTTCTCTCACTTATAAAGCACAATTTCATCTGAAATCGCCTGGAAAGGGTTTAACAAATGGAGCTGAAAGGATGCACTAAATGTCACTTTGATTATGAGCGATTATATAGTCGGTCTTTTCCTCATACAAGGGACTCGCTCTTTCCTTGTCTAAGGTCCTTTGTTAATGAACACTATGATAGACGTCAATAAAGCAGCGGCATCATTTGAACGATAAACACATTAAAAACTCTCGCGGGATTGTTTTCGACCACGCCCCCGTGTGGGCAACAACTCATAACATGATTCATGGGATTTTGATCGCAACACTTTTCTAAGGGCAAATCAGTGGCACCCCCGAAATATGTCTATATAGAAGGGCGTTTTGGGACAAAAAATTTCATGTTTTCCGTCCCGTTTTGCATGTTTCTCGGACGCAAAATGAGCAAGAACGCTCGTTTTTACATCATTCCAAAGAGAACTAAATGGCCTTTTTAGAAAGTGAACCATCGATAAGGAAATGTTGCAGTT